GGAATAGTTGCGAGTGTAGATGTGTTCAAGGCCAGAGCCCTCGGCTAATATTTGAAGCCACGGAGCGAGAAGGTGGACGCCTCGGGACATGCAAAAGGCAACTGCAATTAATAGAAGGCAAAGCGCCACCTCACTAATAACGAAGAGAATACAGCGCTGGGTAACTAAGGATAGAAGATCGAGGGGTTCTCTTAATAAAGGCCATGTTTTCAGACTCAATTGGATTAAGGTGAGGAGTCTGGAATCGGCTATTTTTCAAATCGGCTCTTTAGCCGAAAACAAGGAACACAACGAGGCAAAAAGTATGGTTATCGTTGATTTTACACAAGATACACGTTGATATACAGATCATAAGTCTAGAACATCCTAGATTGCTTTCAATACTTCTAGCCAGATAGCATCAACTTCTACGATTTGTTACTTGTCTTCTTCGACTGATCTAGGAATGTCCTCAAGGCTACTGCGAATGGCCCTGCCTTCTCTGACTTTGGCCAGCAGTTCTTGTTTCTTTTGCTTGATGGCATTGGGTATCTAAGCCAAGTTGGACTTGTGACGATCAATGGTAGCCTTCACGTTCTCCAGCTCCTTCTCAAGTTCTGCACGCTTGATTTCCATTTAAGACAACTCTGTGTCGATCCTGAGGGAGGAGTTCTTTAAATCGTCAATTAACTGTGTCAGCTCTTTAGCCTCTTGTCTGTTGGAGTTCCTCTTGGCCAATAAAGCTTGTGACCATCAATAAAGAGACTGTCAGACTCCAGCTCTTGCGTAGGTGTTTCCTTAGAAAGTATCTAGCATGGTAAGAAGTCAGATGAAGGATAAAAATTAAATAGAATCAGGAATTTTCAGAAAATACTTCGGCGGCATCGAGGATAAAATGGAAGGACTCACATATTCTACCGTTTTGGAAGCATCGGTTGTTTCAACCGAAGTTGGCTCTTCTTGGGGATCGGCTGATAAAGGTTTAGTTGGTGCCGAATCGAACGCCTGGGACAGCAGTTCTGCACGCAGAATCGATTGGGATGCAATGGTCGATAGCTATGAAGAAAAAGGATCAGAAATTGAATATCATTTTGAGGAAAAGATGGATTTGTTTACCTGAGCAGCTGATGGTCTCGTTCTGTGGAGTCTTTTCCTAGTAACGGTTTTCTGGGTTGTCCCTTGGGCCGCCTTGCGCTTTGAAGATTGATATGCCACGATCGTGGGGGCGGCATGAGTTTTCATCAACTTCTTCAATGGAGGTGCAGCTGATCCTGTTCTTGAAATTGGGCATGGTGGCTGATAATCTATAGGATGTCTCTTCCTATCCAAGCTTGGAGGATCGAATTCGGTGTCCTGAAAAGGTCTGTTAGAACAATTGGCAGGAAAATTCATCAAGTAATTTTCTGAAAAGGAAATGGTAAATTACCTCTCTGTCAGAAGCAAACTTCCCATCCAGAACTATGCATATAGGATGGATCAACGCACAGAAGAGATGGGAATGCCATTTTGGGAATGCCATTCTTGCCACCAGAAGTTAAAAAGAGTAGAAGAGAAGCCTACTCTTGTCCAATCGTCCAGGCAAAAAAATGGAAGATCTGACCTAAACCTCTGGAGGCTGAACAGGGCACGGAGGATTTTCCGGGGCTAATCCCATTCGCTGCTTCAACCATCCTGGCACACTGCACTGGCACATGGTGCTCTGTTGAGATGTCGTACTATGAGGTGTACATGGAACGGTGCTATAATCTGCTGGAGCCTAAAGCAAAAGAAATCATGGCCTTGGATGACAAAGATGGTAACATGCAACTGAAGGGCTTGAGCTGGGTAATGTGATTCTGCTTGGTGATTACTGAATGTGTTTGTTGGAATTCAATCGGTTGCTTACTGTTGCCCTTTGATGTTTGAAGGTCCCTGTGCGATCCATGGAGGAATTCGAGGAGCTCTATTCCATAGGCGTGCAAAGGAGAAAAGTCGCCCACACTGGACTGAATGATGTTTTCAGTCGGAGCCACCGAAATTTTTTTTCCAGCCCCTTTTTTTTTTTAAAGATTTTCACAAATACGTCCAGTAAGTATCATTTTAAAAATAGACCCTGACCTCGGCGCCGTGACAATTGACGCCGAGCTTACACGTCTCGGCTCCAAAACAATTGGCGCTGAGGTCCAGGGTCATTTTCTGCGTGCCGTTGACGCGGCTGCTTGCGTGGTGCGGACGTGGCATGAGCTCGGCACCGTGGATCTTGGCGTCGAGCTAAGCGCTGTAGATCTTGGCGCCGAGCTCGGCGCCAATTACTACGGCGCCGAGCTATGGAAATTAACAAATTTTAATTTTTACCATGACTTGGATATTGAGAAATGTGGTTAACTCTAGATTTTTTACGGTGACTTGTTGTTTGATCACTTAAAACAGTCTAGAAATACTTAAGATAAAAAATGATTTAGGGTTTATGTTCATGAACTAGCCTAAAAATGCTTCTAAGTGTTGGATCAATAGTTAACTCCTTTTTTCATATTGTTGTTTTGACCAGGGGGTAAAACTATAGTTTCTTTTCTATATATAAAGTTTGACCTTTAATAGAAGTTGTAGTTTGAGTTGAGTACAATAAACTTTGCTTTTGGACCTAAACCTAAATCAGTCTTTAACATGGCCGAATTGTGACGCTGTTTTGGCCCCTCTAAATCTTTCTAATTCCCTTATCGCCGGTAGTGAATTGACATGTTTGCGACATTTTATCTTCCAAATTTGTATAGCAACTCAATTTGATACCGTGCTACGAGTTTGAATACTCTCTGAGGAGATGACAACAAAACAAGTCTTGTCAAGTTTGGACTTAGCCACGGTAAAAAATCAGACTTAACCACGGTCATAAATTTTAGACTTAGCCATATTTTCACGTGCTTACAGGTCATGACATGCTTACAGGTGAGGTGTGTTGTGTCCGTGCTTGCATGCCTACACATGCACGTACGGTTCGTTGCATGCACCGATGCATCTCCGGTTAGCAATGCAATAGACGTATAGAGCCAAGCCCTGCATCGCCCCGCCGTACTGTAGGAGCCGAGCTCTGTACTGTATTGTCCGGACGTGCTATAGTTTCATTTGGTCAGGCAAATTTTTTATCTTAAGTATTTATAGATTGTTTTAAGTGATCAAACAGTAAGTCACTGTAAAAACTCTAGTGTTAGCCACATTAATCAATATCCAAGTCATGGTAAAAATTAAAATTTATCAATTTCCATAGCTCGGCGCCGTAGCAATTGGCATTAACATATCCATAAGAATATTACAAATGCATTTATCATTCATTCTTACATGAAATCCATACATTATAAAACACAAATCATTAATAGTTTCCAAAGTGGTAGGGGTATTACTAACTCCAGTGTTACGAAACACCATATGTTCAGCAAATGGTCGAGCTCCCTTCTTTGGCCTCCCAAGTATGCAAAGATGGATCAGCGGTAGACTCATAGCGGTGTACACTGCACACAACAGCCTGCAAGCCTCACCTTCACCTTGTATAGCAGTCCCCTGCAATGACACATGATAATATGGACAGGAGAACTGTATCAAAAGTTCAGAACCAACTAAATATGCTTGGTGAACAATACCATTTGTTCTAGGAAAAATATCAATTATTGCACCAATAAATGGAGACAAGTAATTCCACTGTCCAGTAATCAGGTACTTCACAGCTTACAGTCCAATCTATCTCAAAAAAAAGCTTACAGTCCAATCTCTATCAGGAGCAGTACATAGAGAATTAAAAATGAAGAATTCCTGGGAGCATGAAAGAAGCACCTACCAACACAGATAACTTGTCAGAAAAAAGCATGACATAAACAATGAAACACCAAATGAAAAGTATGTATTAGGAAAATTTAAATACAAACACAGATAACTTGAAACGGATTGATTAAAAAACATTGCAATTACAATTCTAGATAATTATTGGATACTCTGCTAGTTGGACTAGATTCTTGTTTCTTAGAATTGGATACTTGTGTTCAACTGCAACTACAATATTATCTACAGAAATACTTAAGTACGAAAGATTGGGGAGTTTTTTTCCTCATAAAGAAGCATTGTGCGGAAGTTGGTAAAGAGTAAGAAACATACATTCTGGAAAATCACAGAAACAAGGAGAATTTTGCTAGAAACAGTTTAGGTCCGAAGGTAGAATGCTGCACATATAATTGAATCGAAAATTCCTGCTGTTAACTAATGGTAAATAATGCCTGCATATATATGTAAAATACCATCATGCATCATCTATATGTGCAGTGAGATCATGAATTTCCAGTACAAAATAAGATCCTACATGGCAATTAATCCAACGAAAACAACAGCAAGATCAAATAAGATCCTAAAAGAAATGTCAGAGCACATTGCATCCCAACCAGTTCAGCACCTAGTTTTTACTGAACATACTATCAATTATCTGAAATTTACGGTTTGAGCACCAAATCAACGTTAATAAAAATTAATCCACCAAGCTTATTCATCCCTTCCAGATATAAGTGAAGGTGGTCACTTACTAGAAATAACTGAAGATGTATGACACCTCAATTCCAGAAATAACATTGTAGAAACTAAGAGAACACATGTATGCTGATGCCGCTGCCACTCCTAATGAAGAAACTAAGAGAACAACACCCCTCAGGCCTCTAGATCTGCAAGGATCAATTCGGCACCTAGTTTATTTAACTCGTCACAAGTTGCAAGTGACTCTACTGCATACAGAAGTGGAGAAAAAAAGACACAACGGAGGAAGACAGAGAGAGGACTTTCACCGTGCAGAGGGCTCAGCAGAGACGGATCTGCAAAGACGACGACGCCTCCTCGTTGGGCTGCGACCTCCGCGCGCCACCATCGGCTGTGGGGACCATGACCTTCGCATGCTGCCCTAGGCCGTCGGGGTCGCGACCTCCTCGCGTCGACCTTGGCCGCTGGTGCTGTGACCTCCACGCGCCGCCTATGGCCTAGGCCGGCGACTCCCCAGCCATCTCCGCCTCGCCGGCATGGAGAGGTCCCCAACTAGGACGCACGAGAGGTGCGGCGGGAGCGGCAGGAGGCGTCGGGCGAGAGAGAAGAAAGGAAGAGAGGAAAAGGAAAGGAAGGAAGAGAGAAAGGAAAAGGACCCACTGTAAGGCCGGCTCGGCGCCAGGATCTATGGCGCCAAACTCGGCACCAAGATCTACGACGCCAAGATTCACGGCGCTGAGATGGTTGCCATGTCACTCCCGGCTCTACTTTGATGCCGACGTGGCCTCCCGACCTAGGCTCCAAACCCTTTGGCGCCGAGACGTATAAGCTCGGCGCCACTAACGATGGCGCCAAGCTAAGGGTCCAGATTTTGAAAGCATACCTCTAGAAGCATATTTGTGAAAAACTTTAAAAAAAAAAGGGCCAAAAAAATAAAAAAATTCGGTCGGAGCCACGCTGTGCTCTCACTTAGGGTCAGCACTGATGTTGTCAAAGGGAAACTTAACCTCATTGATTTGGCTGGTACATCTCTTTGGAAGTCTGGATTGCGGCACACATGCTTAAGCTGTATCCCTCTACTTGAACTCATGTTGTGCTTGATTGTTGTTTCTAGGTAGCGAAGACAACAGAAGGACTTTGAATGAGGGCATCCACCTTCAAGAAAGCTCCAAGATCAACCTGTCATTGTTTACATTGTCCAATGTATTTTCAGCTCTAAACAAGAATGAGCACCGAATTCCCTACAGAGAGAGTAAACTGACCCGCATACTTCAAGATTCTCTAGGAGGCAGTAGCCGTGCTGTGATGATAGCTTGCCTGGTGACTTTTCTCAATCTTTTTTCTTATGGATGTCTCATAATGTAGAACTTGGCTAATTGTTTTTTGTTGTTTCAGAATCCTGCAGAATACCAGGAGTCAGCCAAGACAGTAAGTCTGGCTGCTCGTCCATGCCATATTGAGACTTTCACCAGTTCAAGCAAGAAAGAAACTCCCAAGGTCAAGGTTGACATGGAAGCCAAATTACGAGCATGGTTGGAGTCAAAGGGGAAAACAAAGAGCATCCAAAGAATGGATGGTCTTCTCTCCCCAATTGCCAGCAAGACTCCATTGTCTATGAGCCATATGAAGCATCCAACATCTTCCAGAATTTCTTGTATAGCTAAGGCAATGGATCAGGATGGTGGTAAAATCAAGAAGTTAGTATTTTTTTATCATTTCCTCTTTATATATTACATGGAACCATACATAGTTCTTATTTCTTTTTCTTCTCCTGCACAGGATGCTTTTTAATCCAGAAGTCCATGTTCCCACTGAAAATATACCACGAGATCACAGGCAGACAGAAGTAAATACACCAAAGAAAGGTACTTTAGAAAACTTCAGGAGTATTATATCTGTGTGAAATAGTGGTTACAAAATCTGAAAAGATAGTTGAAATTTACTCAGAACAACCTCTGAGATTTTTTACTTGTGTTTTCATGTGTGAATCTGATGTCTAAAGGCCTCGAGATTTTTGACCTGTGTTTTCACGTGTGAATCAGATGTCTGAAGTCTTATGCAGTGGTGCTTCCTTCAGTTACTCAATGCTATGAAAAACATGAAGCTTCTCTCAGGAAATCTCTTTCTCCAATTTCTTCAAACATGGTGCCTGTGAAGCAGCAAATATCTGATAATGGCAATTGCCCCATTTTATTGGAGCCCCAAACTCCAATAGAAACACATAACATAGTCAAGGAGACTCCTGGTGCAACACCACTAGAGAGACTTAATGCGCTACAGTCTAACTTAAAGGTTTGTACAGTTCCCCTTCTCATTCTATAGACAAGATATTTGCTACTTTAAGATTCATCAATTGACATTATGACTTTTTAGGAAACTCTTGTTCAGCAGTACCTTGAAGTTTTAAATGTTGCAGACAAGTAAGTCCGAATTCTACAACCTTTTTTGTTGGCACCCAGTTCCAGATTTTTATTGAACTTAGCTTTATTTGATTGATGCGTAAAATGGCTGATGCTGTACGTATTGCTGAAAAGTGGCTAAAATAGCACATGGGAAGCAAAAATGCAATGGATCTAAATTGCATAAACCCCCCTGGATCTAAAAAAGGCACTTTGATCACTCTAACTTTTAGGCTAATCTTTCTTCGCCAGTATCTTGTATGCCTACGGTGTAGCTTCACCGTGACAAAAAACATGGACATGTCAGTTATGGTTTCTGAACATCACAAATTAATTAAGAGCTTATTTGGATACCCATGTATCCATCTCAAACCATGTGTGTTGGAGTGGTTTGGTATGGAATTTAAACTCCATCTCAAACCATGTGTGTTGAAATGATTTGGTATGGAATTTATTTAAATTCCAGAACAAACCACTCCAACACACATGGTTTGAGATAGATACATGAGTATCCAAACAAGACCTAAGGATCATCTACAAACATGACCTGACATTTCGTGTGTGTGGTGGTGGTGGTGGTGTGGGGGGGGGGAGGCTGCTAATCCAGTTTCCAAGTTTTTAGTTCAAGTAATTTGCTCAAAAGAGAGGTACATTCCTTCACATGAAACTTCAGCAGGAATCCTGCCATTCTTCATTGTTATTATGTTATAGTCTGTAAAACTCTGACTATTGGTTTGTCACTATAGCAGAATACATGAACTTTCTGTTCTTAGGTTGACCTTATGTCACAAAAAATATCCAGTTTTTTCCAGTCTTTCTTTATAGTGTTTCTCTCCCTTTACCTTTGACTGCAGGGAAGAGCTACAGCAGCTGAAAGTATGATCCTTTCATCTTAATAGCATTTCGATCACTGATGTTCCAGCCTTTTCTTCTGAGTAACTTCCCCTCTTGTTTGCTAGGGAATTGGCCCAAAGAGAGCAGAATATATTCTGGAATTACGGGAGGACTCACCAAGACCGTTCAAAACTGTAAGATTTTTGTAGAATGTGAAATGATCCAGATCTTTTTTCCAAAAGAAAAAAGGAAAAAGAATCCAAATGTCTGAAATGGTCTTCTAAGAAAAAAGGAAAAAGAATCCAAATTTGCTTGTCCAGCTTGCAGATCTGGAACACATCGGCCTCTCATCAAAGCAGGTAATTTTTGTGTCATCTGTTAAGGCGAAAGGCATGCATCTCTGCCGAAAGTTATAGGAATTCCAAAGTTATATACCGCTTATAATTCCTTTGGCTTGTTCGTTTTGCTTGTAGATCCAAGACATCCAAAAGAAGATGGCGGCCACTGGGATCTTCAAATGATGACCTAAATGGATGCTGTATTGGCGCTAGACATCCATATGTGGACGGAGAAGTTAGTTCAATCTTTCTGTTGGTGACTTCAGGCAGTGTCCTGCTGCTGCTTTCAACTAGATTTCGTTTAAGCGTGTGTGTAGAATTGCAGTTGACGTGTTGAACAACTAAACTGTCGGAATTGTGCTGCTACTTTTACGTCCAGCAAAGTTTTTATGAAACGTCGCTATTCGAACATTTTATATGATGAAGTACAGTCATTTGCTCATTTGATAATGATGATAACATGTTTCGCAGGCAGAGTTTTTATCATTCGATAACGATAACATGTTCCGCAGGCAGAGTTTTTATGAACGAGCTATTCGAACATTTTATATGATGAAGTATTTTTTTGAGAGGATTTTATATGATGAAGTAGAGCATCACTTTTGCTCATTTGATAATAATAACATGTTTCGCAGCCACCCAACTGACAATTGAAAGTTGAAAAATAGGGGAAAAATGAAACAGGAAAAAGGTCGCCCACCGTGGGGCTCGAACCCACGACCACAAGGTTAAGAGCCTTGCGCTCTACCGACTGAGCTAGACGGGCTTCACGTTTTTGATCAGTTTGTTATTATTTTATTTACTTATTAATGTCATGTTCCCTTCAACCAAAGGATTCCACCATCGAAAGAAACGGAGTAAAGGGCAGACATGTTGCATTGTAGTACCACTTGCGGTACAATCGTTTAGCACACGAACTAGCGCCGAAATTTTGCCGTTTATGCAGGGAGACAGCTTGTTGCATGGAGAAAACATCAATCCTTTTCTTCGGCCTACTGCCAAGTGGCAACAGTCCCTTGGATGTGACGCCATTTAAGCATAGACTGTCATCCATAGATCTAGGTACTAAACTTCTAAAGTAGCCAAGGCACATTGAGTATATACTAAAACAAAAGCCCCATAATGTTCATTTGAACCTTCTTTATTTTCTTGACTTGATGCAGCGCAAAAAAATCCATGCAGTGTGCCCATGATGATGTTGACATGCCTTTGTTTTTTTTCACTAGCTTTGCTACTACGGTCTGATGAAGTCATGAGGAGTACAAGAGACGTTTAGACGTCGGCGCATAGCACGCCGTAATTCACGTACCTCCTGCTGCTTAATTGTCCTAATTCACGTAGTTCGTTCGCTTGGCTCCAGTGGCCTACGATCGTATCTCCGTCAAGATCAACAATGTCTTGTCATCGTCCGCGTCGAAACGGCAGAAACCCAAGCGCTTTTGGAAAGCCCAAAACCAAACGATCCCGACTCGACTCGTACTCGTACTATCGTACCGGTGCCCGGCGGCAACCGCGACCGCGAGTCGACGCCACCTCGCCACGCCGCGCTCGGTCGGTCACGCGCCGCGCACTCGCCCCGCTCGTTCGCCTGCACGCGCGCCACCTCGTCCTCCTCGCCCCGCTCCGCCTCCCTCTCGACTCGCCCCCATTGCGCGGCGCGGGCGGCAGCGATCGCGCGCGGGGGAGGCCTAGACCTAGCTCCGAAGGGGGCACCGACCCAATGCAGGGGCATGCGTACAGCCGCCTGGGTAGCTTCGGCTCCGCGGCGAGCGCGCCGTCCCCGGTGCCGGCTGGGGCCGGCGCCGGCGCTGGCGGGGGCAGCCGGACGCCCGCGAAGGCGGGTTCGGCGAGGGCATCCTGGGGCCGCGGCCTCGGCATCGGCGGCGGCGCGGGCGGGGGTCGCCCACCGTGGCGGCGGCGGCGGCGCGGCGCGGAGGGTGGCAGGGCGGTGCTCGCGACACTGCTGCGGAGGCAGGCGGTGTTCCTCTTCGCGCCGCTGCTGTACGTCGCCGCGATGCTGCTGTACATGGGCTCGCTCCCGCTCGACGCCGTGCCGCGGATAATCGCGCGCCAGCCGCCCGGGTCGGTGTACCGCAGCCCGCAACTGTACGCGCGGCTCCGCGCCGACATGGACGCCGACAACTCCACCGGCGCGGTTAGTGCCTCCCTCCTCCTTGCACGTTTGTTGCAGCGTTTTGATTTTGTTTGTGGGGCTTGCAATGTGGCACAAATGTTTGGCCGTATTGATCACAGAATGGTTGAAGCATGATCGAGCTTACGCATAAGCAGCGTAATGCTTTTGCATATGGTGGTCGAGCTGAGATGGTGTAACGTGCTCTTTGGATTATTTTAAATGGTGTTGATCAATCTGAACTGGCACCTGGTCGTCTTCTAATAGTGAGGAAATGGGTGACAGTGGACATGTGCTTGAACCGTGGGTTTTATATTGTTATTTACTTGTTCATCAGTTCATGTGATTGCTTTGTGTCATGGGATGACATGAACGGCCATTTTGTCCCATCTTCTGAAACTTGATTCAGGTCGGCATGCTGTTAGAATGTTATTGGTCCTTGTTATATTGCAAGATCACTGGTTGGTTTAGTCAAATTGTCTCATCCAAATTAGTATGTGCTTATCCTGCCCTTTGCTCTTAATAAATACAAAAAGTGTGGTTTCTTTATTCATTATTACACCATGCTCTCATAAGTGATGTTCGTTTTGCTTGCCCTAGTTGTCATGGAGAATATTTATTAAAAAAAAGGATTCACAGTTTCACACACATAATGGGATACTACACAAGGGAAATCATGTGGCGCTTGAAACCAAATCTGATACACTCATGATCAAGAAGCTCCAGTTGCACTTGCACCACAACAAGCAAACCTTGCCTGCATTTCTGGTGTTTAAGTGTTCTGCATCTCGTTTGCTGTCGTCTTCACTGCCTTTTATTCATGTATCACTTACAACATCCTTTTATTATGTCCTCAAATGAAACAATGTAACCATGGTTTGACAGACAAAACAAATCACTTTCAAATGATCCGGTGCAAAATATGGGTGAATGGACAAAGAAACTGAATTCCAAATGAACCAAAGTAAAGTCCGGTTGAGTGGACCAAAGAAATGAATTTCGATATGCAATCTGCTGAAACCTGTTTATGCGCATGGGATACAGTGCATAAATGATGAAAAGATAAAAACATCAAATCCATCAGCAGATAGGCCTTTCCTTTTATTATGCCAAGTGGAATAAGAACATTGAGTGAGTATATATTTGCATCTATTTACATCTTTCATTACAAATATCCCACAGAAGATATTAACTGGACGGCATCCAGCAATGAGGTAGAAAAAAGGCCCTGTACTTCTGTTTCCATGTTTTGATGATTATAATTTTCTGCTTCTTATTTGTGTTAATTTTGCATGTATGCTTCTTCCTCTCACGTTGTCATATTTTCTAGCTAGCAACTGTATGGAGGCACACTTACAAAGGTGGCACATGGCGGCCCTGCATAAAAAACGTGACAAATGGTATGCCACTTTCTTGCCGTTCTTCCGTTTGTTTGGCTCTAGACTAAATATTGTGCATCAGATGTGCAGATTTCGTGCACTTGTAATTTCTAATTCTTTTTGTTCCTTCTAACGTCTTGTTTTAAGGTACTTCTAATGTGTCTTTGATGCAATTCAGGTTATCCTGTTTCCTTTCTGATATGTAGATTGTAAAACCCCTGAACACATTCATATTTGTGAATGGAAGACTTTTTTTTTCTTGTATTTGATCATTACAGAAGTTAATTTACATGGTCTTATGTTTTGATTTTAGCAAATGTCCTGTTGTTGCACACAGTTACATTGTTATATAGAACTGCAAACGGGCAGACAGGAATTCTGCTACTGGCCTACTGCTTATTATGCCCCACTGTTATGAGTTTATCAATTTTTTTTTTTGGAAAAGAGCATAACTCTGCTTTTAGAAAGCAATATCTGGTTACAGAACAGCTGGGGTTGCCAGCTTGAACAAAGTGTAAAGGGGTGACAAGCCAAAGACCCTACTACAACAAAGCTAAATTTCATAGATGTCATAATGAGTTTATCATACAACTTACAAGCAGGCAGCAGCGCATATTGGGGCTATGATTCTCGGCATATGATTGACAAGTGTTTATGATTAACTGATCATCTTCCTCATATAAAACTTCTCTACCTTATATGATTTGTTTTTTTACCAAGTTTACACTTGGAAGAGTCAGATGCATTACCACCTCCAGTGTTTCTGTTATTAAACTCACAGTGTAGAAATTATTCAAATTGTATGCAAGATATTTTATAGGCTAGTTTATTTGGACAAATGAAAATTCACCCTTATATTATCCAATTTTAAAAATCTTTTCAGGATATACGAAAATTTAGAGGTTAATGAAAGTGTCATTATATCACTCTCTGAAGGTGGAAACATCACTTTTGTTTCGTGACTGGAATTAGTTCCATTTAGAAACTTGCATATTCCCCCTGATCTCTCTCTCTCTCTCTCTCTCTCTCTCTCTACATTGGTAATCGCCTTAATTCAGTGTTTCTTATTACTCCTGATATTTTATATTTTTGTTAACTGCTATGTGGTATCTTCAGTTACTAACTCATGCAATGTAGTCGCCATTGCTGGTTTTCTGAATGCTACTCTTATCATCCCAAATTTCCATTTCCATAGCATTTGGAGGGATCCAAGGTGCATTCCCCACCTCTCAACTCAAATTTGTATTAAGTACTGGAACATACCATTAACTCCTGTAAGCTAAATGGATTCCCCCCCCAGTTCATGATGTAAAACCATAATATGTCATTTTCTTCTAGTATGCATGGTGATCTTGCCTGATGCAAATGTAAGATGTGGCCTTTCATTCTTGCAAACACTCCTGCAGTTTTAACATTTGAGTTTTTAAGTTCTCTAGAATGTTGAATTCACACTTTATCTCTTGTTTGCATCATTATCACTCTAGAATACTGATGGAGCAAGACCATGTATTGAAGCTGTTCTGCAGGCTGTTGCGTTTGAGAGCAGTTTATGGTGTACTGCTGGGGCTTTAGCGCTCCAGGAGACCAGGAGCTGATCCTAAGGTCGCTCGCCATGGTCAATTAATCATCTTATATAGAGCGGAGGTGCTGGTGGTGGTCGTTTGTAGTGTTTG